GTGTTGGCTACAGAGATCAGATTCTGAGGCCTGTGGTCATTCCTTTCCTGCAACGTCGTGGCCCGGGATTGACATTTCAACAGGACAACGCTCGTCCTCACACGGCTAGGGTCGCAATGGATTTCCTTCACCATAACAATGTCATGTTACTGCCATGGCCTGCAATTTCTCCAGATCTCTCCCCAATAGAGCATGTGTGGGATGAATGGAGCGCCGTCCGCGTCGTCTTCCACATCCTCCAGGTAACGTCCGTGACTTGGCACAGGATTTATGGAGGATATGGCAGGCCATTCCCCAGGCCTTCCATGCCCATTTGGTGGACTCCATGCGTCGCCGATGCACTGCTGTGATTCACGCACAGGGTGGTCATACCCGTTATTGACTTTGTGACGTTGTCGTATGACCCCCTACTCCATTTTGATCTTCTGACGTCATCGTAACAGATGTTGTTCAGGTCCCGTTGACATTTTCTTATGGTCCGATCATTCAGCTGCTACAGCGTCTGCATCATTTTGTTCTTGCTGTGTTGTATTTCAATCCAGAATATATTTTCTCCGTGCACAGTTTCTTTATGTGGCTAGTATATTTCTGTCAGTGTAGTAAATACTAGATGTGTTCTTTTTCTTGACACTCACATACTGAAAAGCAGAATCGGACGAGAAGCGACCATTTTTGCGTTTATAGGCACTATGGGATGGCGTGATGACTAGCCTTTATCATTTTCGGGCATATTCCATAATGTTAGAGGGGTGATGAGGTAATATAAAGACCCATAGTGAGAGATAAAGATTATGGCATAGCTATTGTAACAGTGTAAATGGATTAATTTTGTGGTTGGTTGCGATATCTAAAAAACGTTAAGAGTTTGTCGTAGTTATCATATATATTTCTAGTGTCAGCTTCCTGTATGAATGAAATACTACTGGTCATACAGCAACAGCACATTGGTTTTTAGATGTCAGCGGGATTCGAACATGTAGCCTCTTGACAAGTAGTCCTTCGCGCTACCACCAGTGCCACGGAGTCTGTATAAAGTGTCCGTCACCATTACCTCGTCACCATTACCTCGTCACCATAACCTCGTCACCATAACCTCGTCACCATTACCTCGTCACCATTACCTCATCACCATAACCTCGTCACCATTACCTCGTCACCATTACCTCATCACCATTACCTCGTCACCATAACCTCGTCATCATTACCTCGTCACCATTACCTCGTCACCATTACCTCGTCACCATTACCTCGTCACCATAACCTCATCACCATTACCTCGTCACCATAACCTCGTCACCCTTATCTCGTCACCATTACCTCGTCACCATTACCTCGTCACCATTACCTCGTCACCATAACCTCGTCAACATAACCTCGTCACCATAACCTCGTCACCATTACCTCGTCACCATTACCTCGTCACCATTACCTCGTCACATAACCTCGTCACCATTACCTCGTCACCATTACCTCGTCACCATAACCTCGTCACCATTACCTCGTCACATAACCTCGTCACCATTACCTCGTCACCATTACCTCGTCACCATAACCTCGTCACCATTACCTCGTCACCATTACCTGAGTTTAGCTAAGTTGTACATTTTCATGTTTATATCGCACCAAGTTCGTTGTTAGTCCTTGCGGTAAATGTGTCGTGCAAGTGCCCATGAATCTGATTTGTAAACCTAATTTAAATATACATGATTGTTACACATATTATTCACATTTGACCTATTGCCTTATCGATGTGCACTTTATTGATAGAGGTTTAAATTCGAAACATGTTTAAACGTGATTAAATTTGAAAGATTTGTTTAAAATCTAACATGTGTTAACGAGTTTACATTGTGAACATGTTTAGATTATGGGAATGATGTGTTTTTGGTAGTGTTTAGGCTGTGAGACAACAGCTCATTTCATGTGTTTTGACGTAAATGCGTTAGAAAGAACACACAAAATTTGTATTACGTTTAGGATTTAAACACATCCCTAATCATGTTTAGATCTACTCATGTCTTGTCTGTGTTTAGATCTAAACACAGTGTCCAGAAACCCCCATCTGATGATTTACAATCTGGTGTGTACCCAGGAAATGTGGCGAATGAGGGCCTCGGATTTCGTGCAATATGCACCATGCTGTATACAGAGTATACTATAATCGTGTTCGTAGCATACTATGTTTACGACACGAAAACAAGTAAAACAATTCCGTCGGTGAATTTGACTGAGATTAAAATAATGGATCAATTATGTCTGAGAGACTTAGCTCCGATTTGATTTTGAATAAAAGTAAATATTTAGAGCTCCCCTTCACGTTATCACGTTGGCAGTGTTGTTGTTGTTGTTGTTATGATATAAATACCTCAACTACTGAAAAGCTGCGCTAGTTTATCCGAATTCTTTCCAAGATCACATGCCTGAAAAAGAGTCAAATTTGAGCGTCTGTTTGAAAATACTTTGCATAATAATAAACTGAAGCCTCCGTGAAGACCCGTGGTAGAATAGGTCTTCAGCAACCCATGCTTGTCTATCCCCCGTGAAGACCCGTGGTAGAATAGGTCTTCAGCAACCCATGCTTGTCTATCCCCCGTGAAGACCCGTGGTAGAATAGGTCTTCAGCAACCCATGCTTGTCTATCCCCCGTGAAGACCCGTGGTAGAATAGGTCTTCAGCAACCCATGCTTGTCTATCCCCCGTGAAGACCCGTGGTAGAATAGGTCTTCAGCAACCCATGCTTGTCTATCCCCCGTGAAGACCCGTGGTAGAATAGGTCTTCAGCAACCCATGCTTGTCTATCCCCCGTGAAGACCCGTGGTAGAATAGGTCTTCAGCAACCCATGCTTGTCTATCCCCCGTGAAGACCCGTGGTAGAATAGGTCTTCAGCAACCCATGCTTGTCTATCCCCCGTGGTGGGGGGGGGGGGGGGGGGGGGGGGGGGGGCACTTCTTGCTCCTTCATCTTCATGTATTCAGCTTCATCGCCTACTTCACGCAGAACCGCCGGCGTGACGAGCGACGTGTTACACAGACATCACAGTCTACAGAGGAAAGTATACACTAGAAAATGGAGATTTGACAAAATGCAAACGTTACGAGGCTGAATGTCACCGAAACACTATTCAGGTCCCTAACACAACACGTTACGTTGCTGTGATACCCGCCTCTAATACTTCACCATCGAATGACCACATCCTGTTTGTACACCTTCTTTTAACCGGCAATTTTTTGTCACCTTTCCGGAGTCACCAATGTAAAATGACACTCTCCAGTAAGAAAATTTAGTTCTTTATTGTGTGTATTTTGCATGCAACAAAACATCAGAAACGACAATTGTATTTGTTACAGTAATTCTTGAGCCATTTCGCGTTGACGTAGTCATCTAACGACACACTGGAATCAGGAAATAGCTTTACGAGTGTTCTGTTTGTAGGATTATGTCAACCGACCAGGAAACTTGCAGAGAGGACGCCGCTCTAGATCACCAGGGGCGATAAACAGGTAACATCCTGCTTAAGTGAGTTTGATTTTACGCCGCTTTTAGCAATATTCCAGCAATATCACGGCGAGGGACACCAGAAATGGGCTTCACACCTTGTACCAGTGTTGTGAATCGAACCCGGGTCTTCGGCGTGACGAGCGAACGCTTTAACCAGCAGGCTACCCGACCGCTCCCATCCTGCTTAAGTATATGCACACATATACATACGTACAGATCTCAAACAATTACGTTCATTGTCCCATAATATTGACATGTTTAGGTCTAAACATGTTTAGGATTGTGTTTAACAGCTAAACGTGTTTAGTTTAGAGTTTAAATGTGAGAAAGACCCGTATGCCCCCTTGACATTCATGTAGTTAATTTGCCTTCTATGGGTTTTTGCAGTCTTTAATGGGGATTACAGGAATTGGTGTGTATGAAGTGTGGGTGGGTTGAAGGGGGGTGGTAATTGGGAGTAATCGGAGGGGTAGGGAACAAACACTCCTGGTGGTATATGCGTTATGCAAGTGCCTTTGAATCTGTTTTGCACATCTAATTTCAATATATTATACATCTTATCCACATATGAATTATTGCCTAATTATAGGCACTTTATTTCTATATGTTTATATTCTAATATGTTTAAACGTTTTTAAATTCTAATCGTGTTTTGATAATGTTGTGTTTAGTGGTGTTTAGGCTGCAACACTCTGATTTAGATCAGGGTAAGTAAGAGTGCTGCTTGATGTGGGAGGAAAGCCCGAAGTGCAAACGTATCAAATGTTTATTATTTTGGAGACACCCCCCACCCCCCACCTACACCCCCCGACCCCCCACACCCAACACCACCCGACAAGGGTATGGTGCGGTCAAGCCAAGGATCACAACAAGGGGAAAGCGAAAAGTCGAAATCTTGGGATTAATAAAATACATAAACATTACTTCAAGACAACTGTGGAGGTCTGCATCTCCTTGTCTTTCTGGGGCACGGGGGGCACGGGGGGCACGGGTGGCCCAGTCGTCTTAGGCGCCGCGACTCTCTGTGCAGAGTTGCATCCCTTGGGCAGGCCAGAAACCTTAATTGTGGGTTCGAATCCTGGTTCGCCCCGATTATGTTTCTAGGTTTGTCAGCACCATACCCGTGCTCGTGGGTTTCACCGAAGTGGTAAAATGGTTTTCCTCCCACATTAAACTGACCGACGTGATATAACTGGAATATTGTTAAAAGCGGCGTTAAACCAAACTCACTCACTCACCGTGTCTTTCTACACAAAAATCAGTCAAAAGCACTTCTCAGTCTGTCTGAGAGCATGTCCTACCCGCAATAGGCAGGTAGAAGTTGGTGATATCAGAGCACGACCTACCCATAACAGGCAGGTAAAAGTTGATGCTATACAGGCACACAATACACGCGTTACCTAGCAACATGGCAATGCGAAAATGGCAAATATGGAAAGCAATGACATTTACTGCCCATGATATAAATAATATAGTGATGTTATTATGACAGACGCAGTGATACAATAACAAACAAGTTTATTTACAACAAGTCATAACAGTGTATATATAGACATCTTATTGTACGCCGTGGCGGGTGTCTGGGTGTTGTGTGTGGATTGACCAGAACATCTCACCTTTTCACTTATACACCCCACGTCCCTTTCACTGCTATGTTCAGATAATCAGATCTGAGTAAATGTTTTCTATAATTTACAGACCTAAATTACAATTAAAGTAAAATGATGTATACAGGTTCCTGCCTGAGGTAGAACATGCAATGCTCCTGAATTGTTAGTCCCTGACTTTACAGCTTTGCCTCCGGGCGTTATTGGGGTAAGAAAAGCGTGAAAATGATTTAAGTCTTAATTTGTTGTTTCTTTGTCTCTAACGCCGCGCTCAGGAATATTCTTCCTTCATCACGGTGGCCTGTAATAATCGAGTCTGGACCAGGCAATCCTGAGATTGACATCATGAGCATCGATCGGATACGATGGGATACGATGACATGCATCAACCAAGTCAGAGAGGCCGACCTCCCGTTAGTCGCCACTTACGATAAGCAGGGTCGCCTTTTACGACAAGCGTTGGTTGCTGAAGACCTATCCTACCTGGATCTTCACGGTTGTTCATGTTTAAAAGAAAGCTTTTTGTGTGAATATGTCATAAACGTTTCTGTAATGTTTGTCAGTCGTGATACAAAAACATCTGTTGATTGAAAAAGTTAGATGTTAGAAATAGATGTTGTGTAATACGTTAGGTCCAAATATGTCCCATTGTCGCCCCATCAAAAAATGTGTAAAAAGGGAGTTAAAATGCGCGACAATGCGACAATGCGACAATGCGATAGTGGTTTGGTTAATTTTCACGTAATGTCCTCCGACAACCTGTTCTTGATGACTGATATATTAAATATACTCTGTGGCGTGGTGTCGATCCTGCTCCCTAAAACTGATCACTCATACGCTGACCGTTGAAATTGTGAGAACCCATTAATGACAGTCCAAGTATTGCGCTTGCACACCTCATAACTTGCACGACACGCGTTGGCCTCGGTAATATTATATACATACTTGCAGGGTTATTTACAAGAGAGTGAAGTTGCTATTTTGTTTCTACTGTTATAAATGACAAAATTATCTTGAAGGCCGAACTATTTCTGCTATCAAGTGACTTTTAATTCATCAAAAACCGATGGACGTCAACGTGATCATATAATTTTGAGTTAAGATTTCTTGTGATCCCTATCAAATGTGTATTTTGACTTTTCAAAAATTTAACACCACCGAGTTAGGGATGGAGAGTAAATAGTTCTAAAGACAATACCTACCCAAAGTATAAGTTTGCCTGGGATATTCAGTTTCCTAAGATAAGAAAAACATGATTAGGGTTAGATGTTTACATTGGGGTGAAAGACTTGAACACTGATTGTATCCTTAGGCGTGGGTGATGTACTCACCGACAAAAGAAACGCAAATACCATACATGTTGGCAATATATGAAGAATTACTCATTTTCAAGTCCCATTAAATTGGGTCGATGCACGAACGAACCTACTGGTGAACTTGTGTGAACCGAGTCGCTCATGAACGCATCACATATGACGTCATAGATCCATGACTCGAAATGTCTTGTGCAGGATTATCGGTACATTTCTGAGATCACGTAAATATCGTGATAAGAATAAACACATTTAACTAATTGTTAATTTTGTCCTCAAGTCGCACACACTGGAAACATCTCTTCTTAACGTACATACTTCTCTATATGTTGCGTTTGCGTTTCATTTGGAATTGAGTATACTCCTCTTCATCCAGATTAGTATACACAATATTATCACAGTCCAAGATGATGCGAGACGATGTCCTGAGCTACAAAACGTCATGTCGCCGTTAGTCTCGCCCGTGTATCGCCAGTTCCCGCACCGGGGGAAGTTTTTGGGGGCGGGGGGCATATCGGCTAGATCCCCTGTCTGGATGACCACGCCCATACCGAGTAGATTGTGGAATGTCACGTGACAATGGAACAACCAGAAACCTGTGAAAATACAAGAAAAATATGTCAGCCGATATACAATGCACCTTACCACGGGTCTACTTGTCTGACCAGCCTCGGGCCTACTTGTTTGACCCTACCTCGAAGCTACTTGTTTGACTTCACTTCGGGCCTTATTGTTTGATCTCACCTCGGATCTACCTGTTTGACCTAACCCCGGGCCTGCTTGTTTGACATGACCTCGGATCTACTTGTTTGACCTCACTTCTGCTGTTCTTATCTGACATGACCTCGGGCCTACTTGTTTGAGCCGACTTCGGGCCTACTTGTTTGACATGACCTCGGGCCTACTTGTTTGAACCGACCTCGGGTCTTCTCTTTGAGCTGACCTCGGGCCTACTTGTTTGACCTAACCCCGGGCCTACTTGTTTGACATGACCTCGGATCTACTTGTTTGACATGGCTTCGGGCCTACTTGTTTGATGTCATCTCGGTGTTACTTGTTTGCCTCAGGCGAATTAAACTCCTAGATCGTTCTCTAATACTGTTTGTGCCACATACTTACAGCTTACATCGATGAAACAACACAATTTACGGTAAAATAACTGACATAATTTGATTTGCCATCGCGACTACGCACGGCTCCGCCAGCCGCTACTGCTGAGGTGGTGAGTCGGCCTCACGTCAGGGTTGTCTGTCACAGAGCAAGGTGTCGGGCTGAGTTTACGTCCCAGGACAAATACAGGTCGAAAGGGGTGACTGAATGGTCATTGGGGGACGGTGGATTACATGTTATCGTATCCCCATAGTGTGATTCAGATCTTATTATTTACATGCGGCCCTATTACAGCTTGAATATTTGCTGAGTGCGGCGTTAAACAATAACATATTTCATAATCAATACCCTCGTTAATACCACCTATGCCCCAGTATCGCAATGTATTGCAAGAGTATCGCATTAGTGTGTTTAACACACCGTCGTCGTTACCATTGTATACGACAATGCATTTGTTGTTGGTATTCCATTCATGTCAGTGGAGTGTGACGAGATTGATCCCCCCGATCATGTTGTAAGAACCCGGAAAGTCCTCCAGGAAGTACAGTCATGTAATAAACACTAACAGTCTCAAATACTAACAGATCGGGTTTCCAACTGGATGTTGTCACAGATTGAGTACAGCAGATTGCCTAAGCATATGTTTGGTTCTCAAACAATGAGCAGATTGGACCACGGGCCTTTCCGGATCCGCCCTGTGTATGTCACGTGATCCGCCCCCTACAGTCTCGCTGGGGATTCCCCTTGTAAATCCCCCGTTAAGAAAAGGAGGTCACTTCTCAAAGAAATGCCTACAGTAACCTGCCACAGACATACAGTGGAAACACCACACCCTACAGATGACAGGGCGATAAACCAGTCATTACCACAGCCACGACAAAGCACTTCGGGGACGTGTTTTCCAACCCAGTAAGCACAATACGCGTGCCACAAACGTTTTGCGTATTGGTCGCCATAACAGGTGACGACGTGCCAAATTCCTACTGTAGGTACCCGGATGTGAAAGTGATAGGGGCGGTCGGGTAGCCTAGTGGTTAAAGCGTTCACTCGTCACGCCGAAGACCCGGGTTCGATTCCCGAAATGGGTACAATGTGGGAATATTGCTAAAACGGCGTAAAACCATACTAACTCACTCACTCACATACCTGGGTTATCGGCCTTGAATCTGATGACGGTGTATCCGCCATTAGGAATGGTGACGGTGTCCTTAGCGACTGGAGTCTCCAGGTTCCTGCTGATAAGGCCGTCCGTGTCAAGTTGCATCACCTCTTGTAGAGTTGTGGAGATGTTAATCTGGAGGAGGAAGCAAATGATGAGTTGTTGTAGAACTTCAACATACAGGACTTTATTCCAGAACAACAATTTAATAATCCGAAAAAAATTAATCGGGACGTGTAACGGGAAACGGATTAATGGGTTTTGCTGAATGCTTACATTTTTTTATGACAATACATAAACGTAACAAGCCCCAAATGTATCGTATTATTAAACATGTTAAATTGTCATCCCATCTTATATCCTCATATCAGTCCATTTTTTAATCCTCATACCAACCCAGTATGTTATAATCCTCATATCAACCCAGTATGTTATAATCCTCATATCAACCCAGTATGTTATAATCCTCATATCAACCCAGTATGTATAATTCTCATATCAACCCAGTATGTATAATTCTCATATCAACCCCGTGTGTTATAATAATCATATCAACCCAGTATGTTATAATCCTCATACCACCCCAGTGGTTGTAACGTGATGTAAGCTCATCAATACACAAAGTCTCGTTACCTTCACGGTAACAAGGAAGAATCTATATAGGTGAGGTGAAATGGGGTTTAACGTCGCGTCCAAGATTATTGCACTTATATAGCGACGTGAGAATCTATATAAAGAACATGGACGCGTTGTGCGTCCTTGGCAACAACAAGGAAGTTATCGCAGTTGCAACGCAACGGCCACAACCCGGAAGTGTTTTCTGTGTCATCATTAAGGTCAACTGCATCCAGTGTAGAGGCACGTGTCTGAATCCCAGGGTCACCCCGGTGAGGATGCGGAGGGATGGGGTAGCACCATATCTGTGTTCAATTTTGACTTACTTTCCAAATTAAGCTCAAACGCAGTGATATAACATGAATGCTATATGTAGCGACATTACAACACTCACTCACTCACTCACTCACTCAGGCACAGGTAGCCGAACATAATAAAATGGCCCGGATGTTTAACACTCAGCTCATCCCGATCCGGTTCATCATCTCGGCCAACATTGGATGTAAATGTATTGGAACTAGATTCACTAGTGTCACTAGTTCACGTGACTATTAGGCTGACCATAAAGCATTGACTATCTATAGGCTTCTCGGTGTTCTGCGTCCTCGGAACGGTCTGACCACCTCAGGGGTCGAGTCCTCCGATCACTCTTGATGCAATAGTCCTCGCAGAGAGTAATAAACTGTTTTGTTATAAGTAAATTTATTTATAAAATTCTGGGGCTGTGGAGTAGCCTTGTGATTAAAGCTTTCTCTTGTCACGACGAGGGCGCGGGTTGGATTCCCTTCATGGGTACAATGTGTAAAGCCAATTTCTGGTGCTGGAGTTTTTTTCTAAAAGCGGCGTGAAACATACTCATTCACTAGATAGTGCTCAATTTGACGATTCATGTCCCTGATATCAAGCATTTGAACGAGATACTCAGAAAAAAACGCGTATCGCCACACGCAGACGCCATTTTGTGTTCTTGTAGATCCCTTCATGTTTCATATAGACCCACGTTAAAGCCCATATGTACCATTTAGACCCTCTTATTCAGACCCTTCAGACCTGTCAGGCCCCGTTGTATAAACAATCTTATACAGACCCTATAGACGCTATAGAACATCTTACAGATCCGCTTATCTAGTCAACCGCCGTCATATAGCTGGAACATTGCTGAGTGCGGCGTTAAACAACAAACCAACCTATCTTATCTAGTCCATATAGACAATCATATATATAGTCTCCCCTGTTTTAAGAACTGTATGGGGAGACATCGGTCGACATGCTGTTTTCCATTCAGTACCCCAAATCAGGTTCTCCCCGAGGTATTACGAAGGTAACGGAATAAGCCGAGTTGACTCGAACGGGATGTTTACAGCGCCACGTACCTTGTCCATGGCAACGACCCGGAAGTTGTACCCATGCAGATGGAAGGGGTGGTTGGTGCTGGAGAACGAGCCTTCGTCGATGAGGATGATCTCTACCGTGTCGTCCAGGGCGACCTTCATGACGTTGATGCACTCACAGAACCGGTTGCTGCAGTTTCTGGTGTTCTCTGGGGTACAAAACAATTCCTGAAACAAACATGGTAACGTCTTGGGTGAATGAACTCATTTCACTGGGAGGGAAGGAGAGGATAGTGCTGTACTAGCAAGTGGCATGCTTCAACCAACCAACCAACAAACCATCCAGCCAAGGACGGTATCCTGCATTTTTTATAAGGGAGAGGTCGGGGTAGTTACATTGAGTGTTCGAAAAGGGGGTTTGGGGGAGCCCGGATTGTAAGACTGCATTGTAGGCACACGTGGATATTGTACACGTTCCATCGTTTGACAATTAAACTTATTATTTTATGAATATTTTGATTAAGAAGGAAATTCTCTTCTCTTTGTTAATTTCTTAAAGTTATAAAGTGAATAGTGAATTGATTCGTAAGGTCACTTGAACAATACACTGAGTGAATACATAAGTATACTCTGATAAAAAACAACGCAAAAGAAGTAAAATCGTAAATATCTGACAGGGTGTTGCTGACATCCATACAAATTTTTAAATTAATACCCAAAATGAATTTCTGCAGGGATTGGGATTGATTTGTATGGAAAGAATGAGGTACGGCAAAGATGTGGTAAAAAAGATGGAAAAATCGCAAAAACACAACCACGCGAGAGCCTGGCGCGAAAACACACCCTTGTGACATGCACGTGCAACATCACTTATTGGGCTATAAAAACGTTGGGTTTTCATTTGCATGTCATCACAATCTTACAGCAAGTGAACAGCGAAAAGATGCCACGGCTGACGGAAGCCAAACGCAACAAGGACAATTGTAAACAAGAGACCTCTTCAGCTGGAGCCAAGTCTTTCCACGTAGCACGAAGCACCATTACAAGACTGTGGAACCGTGATGACAACACGTGCTAACAGACTGACAAAACATTGACCCTCCAAGATCCGGTGGACCACGTATCTCTACTAGAGCACAGGGCAGCATCGTCACTTACGCGACAGAACCACCAGGGCCTCCTCTACAACTACGGCAATACCAGGATATCAGCCCAGAGAGTGGGAACCGATTACGCGCTGAAGGTATTCGCCCTAGACGTTCAGTTCGAGGTGCCATTTTGACGGACCTACATCGTCGGCTGCGACGTCATTGGTGTCAAGGTCACAGAGTATGAACACCACTGCGATGGAGACAAGACCTGACCACGGAAAGACTGACTACAGCCTTTTAACATCCTAGGATTCACAGTAGCATCTACTTACTCGTGGTACGTCGTTGTACGGCGTCAGTAGCGTCTACTTACCCGCGGTACATCGTTGTACGGCGTCAGTAGCGCCTACTTACCCGTGGTTCGTCGTTGTACGGCGCCAGTAGCGTCTACTTACCTGTGGTACGTCGTTGTACGGCGTCAATAGCGACAACATACCCATGGTACATCGTTGTACGGCGTCAGTACCGACAACATACGCATGGTACATCTTTGTACGGCGTCAGTAGCCTCTGCTTACCTATGGCACATCATTGTACTGCGTCAGTAGCGGCGACATACCCATGGAACATCGTTGTACGGCGTCAGTAGCGGCAACATACCCATGGTACATCGCTGTACGGCGTCAGTGGCGTCTACTTACCTTCGGTACATCGTTGTACTGCGTCAGTAGCGGTGCCGGAGGTGCTTTGTTGTTGATGTTGTTGGCTTGTGGCATGGGCAGATCCTTCTCCGTGGCTGAGATGGGGTAGTACAGTTCATGATGGAGCCGGTAGTTGTCAATCTTGTTGAAGTCCACCGCGAGGTAGAACTTCTTGTCCGGCTTCTCCTTGAGATTGAGAGGATCGGCTAGGGTGGCGTTGAGCCACGACACGGGCATCTGGTCCGGCGACCCCTTTACGTTCAGGGGATTCAGAAGCTTAAATACAAGAAAACAATATGAACAGAGTATCAATATAAAATGTCGGGTGGAGTTAGTGATTTGAGTATTGAAATGTTGAATATTACAAAACAACAACATATGTATCAAAAACATACACATTTAATGTATTGCAACTGCTTGGTTATTGCGTTTAGCAATGTTTCGATGTAGGTTCTTACACTGTGATCAAGCTGTCTGTATGCAATAAACAAGAAGTTGTTATCAATAACGTTGTACATTTTCGTATTTACTCACCAACTTCTAGAATACCAACCTAACAGCTACGTAACAGTTGTCTTGGTTGATGGGTGGGAGGGTGAGTTTGGGTGAGTGAGTGAGTCGGGTAAAGGAGGGGCTGATAGCATGGGCAGCGATCAACACCTTCCAGGTACGATGGGACAGTGATCCAGGTCACAAATTATGAGCACCCGATCCACACTGTACTCGGCTCCCTCACCGCGTGTGAGCACTGGGGTCTTACACAGCTCCGGAAACCCAGCACGGTCGTACACAAAGTACAACGTATACGTCGCCTCAATAATCATAACGACAAACCACTGAACAAGTGTCAATAGAAGCGTTCTACATCCAAGCTTTGTGACAGGTGCGTGAATGATTGGAAGAAAATGTCAGTCTTCTGTATCTGTTTGTTACTTGTCGCCTACCTTCCCGCTTCGCATTGCGCTGTCGTAGTCTGTAGGTGCACTTGGCTCCGTCTCGGTGGCGTTGTCGTATCTGAGGATGGCGACCTGTTTAGCCTTGTCCCCTGCGCAGTCGAGCAGGCCGCGAGCCCGAATCCAGTAGTTCCCCACAGCCTTGTCCGCGTCCAGAATAAAGTCGTACCTTGAGAAACATGGGCATATACACGGTGTCAAGCAGTATCACAAAGTCGTACCTTGAGAAACATGGGCATATACACGGTGTCAAGCAGTATCACAAAGTCGTACCTTGAGAAACATGGGCATATACACGGTGTCAAGCAGTATCACAAAGTCGTACCTTGACAGACATGGGCATATATACAAATAAAAAAACGCTTAGGCTAACTTTGAAATTGTGGACTGTGTTCAATTAAATGTGCATAATTCATTTAAATTGGTTGACACAAGGATGACACTAAAAGAGTGATCATCACACGTTCTGTAGACATAATGGCAATACTGATTGTCATGTCACGAGACACGTACGTCCGAGAGGGGGCGTTCCGATCAGGACCTCGTGTGACCACCGTGTGTTGTAATCTGTGATCTGCACCTCCTTGGCACAGACTGAACACGTGGAATTCTCCTCCATTCTCCCTGCAACGCGTTGGACAGTAGTGCAAGTGTATATGGCGTATGCTGACGTATGCTCAATCGGGTTCATCCCACAGATGCTCAATCGGGTTCATCCCACAGATGCTCAATCGGGTTCATCCCACAGATGTTCAATCGGGTTCATCCCATAGATGCTCACTCTATCGGGTTCATCCGAAAGATGCTCAATCGGGTTCATCCCACAGATAGTCAATCGGGTTCATCCCACAGATGCTCTATCGGGTTCATCCTATAGATGCTCGCTCTATCGGGTTCATCCCACAGATGCTCTATCGGGTTCATCCCACAGATGCTCTATCGGGTTCATCCCACAGATGCTCTATCGGGTTCATCCCACAGATGCTCAATCGGGTTCATCCCACAGATGCTCTATCGGGTTCATCCAACAGATGCTCTATCGGGTTCATCCCACTGATTCTCTATCGGGTTCATCCCACAGATGCTCTATCGGGTTCATCCCACAGATGCTCTATCGGGTTCATCCCACAGATGCTCTATCGGGTTCATCCCACAGATGCTCTATCGGGTTCATCCCACAGATTCTCTATCGGGTTCATCCCGCAGATGCTCTAACGGGTTCATCCCACAGATTCTCTATCGGGTTCATCCAACAGATGCTCTATCGGGTTCATCCCACTGATTCTCTATCGGGTTCATCCCACAGATGCTCTATCGGGTTCATCCCACAGATGCTCTATCGGGTTCATCCCACTGATTCTCTATCGGGTTCATCCCACAGATGCTCTATCGGGTTCATCCCACAGATGCTCTATCGGGTTCATCCCACAGATTCTCTATCGGGTTCATCCCACAGATGCTCTAACGGGTTCATCCCACAGATTCTCTATCGGGTTCATCCAACAGATGCTCTATCGGGTTCATCCCACAGATTCTCTATCGGGGTCATCCCACAGATGCTCTATCGGGTTCATCCCACAGATGCTCTATCGGGTTCATCCCACAGATGCTCTATCGGGTTCATCCCACAGATGCTCAATCGGGTTCATCCCACAGATGCTCTATCGGGTTCATCCCATAGATGCTCGCTCTATCGGGTTCATCCTACAGATGCTCAATCGGGTTCATCCCACAGATGCTCAATCGAGTTCATCCCACAGATGCTCTATCGGGTTCATCCCACAGATACTTTATCGGGTTCATCCCACAGATGCTCAATCGGGTTCCGATCCGGAAATCTGGAAAGTCGTAGGATGACATTGACGTTTGAATTATGACGAAAGTCAACAGTGACACGAGCTGTGTCTGGTTTAGCGTTGTCATGTTGGCAAAACTTCCTCTGTCGGTTGATTAACGGAAGAAGGTGACGTTGATGATCCCCCTGAACCACCCCCAAGTCAGATCTCCGTGAGTAGGATATGGCTGCCCACACTGTCACACTTCCGCCACCGAATCTGTCGATCTGTCCAAATCAGTTGAATGCAAAACGTTCATTTCGACGTCGGTAGACACGCTGTCTTCCATTTATGCGTTGGAGGAGAAATCGTGATTCATCACTGAACCAGACCCACCACCAGTCTCTCGGAGTATATGTCTGTACGGTGCTGCTCCATCGCATACGTTGTCGTCGATGCAAATGTCTAAATACAGGGACAGATACCGGCCTTCCGGGTCTAATTCCCACTCTTCGCAGACGATTCCTGATTGTTAGTCCGATGCGCTCCTCAAACCAGGCACATGTCCTGCAGTCTTGGTGGTAGTAGCATGTCGATGACGTAGGCGATATACCCGGATGTAGCGATCTTGTGCAGGGGTGGTGACTCTTGGTCTACCACTTCTCCATGTACACCCACCCATAAACGAGATTACTGCAGCTGGTGTACGTTCAAATGACGTGCAACTGCAGGCTGGGACTCTCAAACGTCAAGACGTCATATGGCGATGTTGCGATTGGCATTGTCCCACTTCTGATAAGACGACAAACGTATGACAAAATGGTGACTGACGTTTGACCTTCTGTAGTTATTGTCACGGCACGTGATTGTCACAACGGGCATTCGGTTTTTAATTTCCTTTCCATGACATTTTCGTGCAGTATTAAAATATGCTGTGTTGAGCAACACATGTTTAAAACGGTTGCGTTTGTGCGCTACATCAGCTAAACGAGCATGTGCCTAACATCGGTTAATAAAACATATTGAAAATGTATCGAATATATCACGAATGTATCACGAATGTATCACGAATGTTTCATGAATAGCCAAAATCAACATTCTCATTATCTCCGTTGCGTTTCTCTTTTTAAAGAGTATAAATGACCGGTCGCTATAATCCTTGCAGCCATCGTTTGAATATGCAACAAATAAAAGCGTAAGTGTCAACACATTTGCCATTGTATCATTGTATCATTGTATCATTGTATTATTGTATCATTGTATCATTGTTTTGTTGTATTATATTAACCTTTCGCCTGGGAAGACGACGAATGAGCTGACAACGACGGGCTCGAACGGAACTCCGTCGCTGGCTATCATGGTGAGGTCGTGGTCGTCGACAGAGATCTGGATTGGGCATTTCAAGATGGCGCTGCTGATGACCCGGAAGCGATACCTGGCGTCCTTCTGTACCCGGAACACGGAGTACGGGGTGTAGACCGTCTGGTTGGTGTCGGGGTGGATGAAATCCTGGTAGGCACCGCGACCTGCGCACAACAAGACAACTTACGTCACAACCCAACACGTCATTTCCTTTCTAATCACTGGATTGTTTGGTCCATGTGTGATTATTTACAGAATTACGCCATATAACTGGACTATTGCTCAGTGCAGCGTTAAACAACAAAGAAACAAACAAACAACCATTATCTTTCTTGTGTATTTATTGTATTTAGAATTTGATCCGTATTTTAAGCCACATTCACTGTATTTGGTGTCTTGAGGTTAACGCCGCTTTTGATACATGATCTGTCTAAAAGTAATTGTGACCCGTGAAGGTCCGGAGTGGAATAAGTCTTCAGCAACCCATGTTTGTCGTAAGAAGTGACTTATGGGATCGGGTGGTCAGGCTCGCTGACTTGGTTGATGCGTGGCATCGTATCCCAAATGCGTGGATCGTTGCTCATGGTGTCAATCACTGGATTGTCTTGTTATTCAATTATTTAGACTCGATTATTTACAGATCGCCGTCATATAGCTGGAATATTGCTTTAGAGCGGCGTTAAACAACAAAGAAAGAAAGAAAGAAAGAAAAAACAAACATTACCTTTCTTGAGTATTTTTTTTGTATTTAGAATTTGGCATTTTATGCCACATCAGAGGGGGGTGCAGGGGGACCATGTACCATGTACGGTAGTCAGGGCTTCGAACCCAGGGTACAGGAGTCACTGATCATATGTTGAGCTAGACACGCTGACCCTCCAGAAGACAGGTTTCCAGATTAGGAGGGTTCACGTTATATTCGGTGAAGGAAGATGACACAACCTACCGTTAATAAGCATGGTGACTTTAGACGTGAGGACCCCCACGTGGGCCAGCTCCGTGTAGCGTGTCATGGTCATGTCGGTCAGCCAGTCATGCACGACCAGGGTGTGTTCCGGAAGGTCATGCTGGTAAAGGTGAGATGAGGGGTCACTTTTTGCTGGTTCCCGGATGATAAGAGCTCCAAACACGCCGTCAGCACGTTGGAGCCCGGCATGGGCGTGCCAGTACATGGAGCCTCGATTATCTGCTTTAAACCTAGAGTCACAAGTTGAAGAGTGAGTGAGTGAGTGAGTGAGTGAGTGAGTGAGTGAGTGAGTGTATCATTCATATCAATATATGGCAGATTAATGTAAGAGGAAACGCCAAACTTGATGACATTTTTGTTGAGTTCAAGTGTGATGCGAGTAGGACAAGGATCATAATCGGCGGATCCTGATTTGGTTAAGGGGCGCAACTCGTCGCAGCCAGTTACCTGATGAATGCATGAGTTGAAGGTTAGCGTTGCATTCTAGAACCAAGTAATATGTCACTTTCTGATATTAAATCATTTGTTTTAGTGATCATCATTATCATATTGATTTAGACAGAACAGTTTAGATTTTAGCCACTTTCCACAAAGCAATCGTAGAGCTCCAACAATTGTTAGTCTATGTCATAGTATGGGAGTTATGATCGTCTTAGCGCTGCAATCGCTTTATCGAACGATACGGGTGAGTGAGTGAGTGAGTGAGGGGGCGAGATAGTGGGTGAGTGAGTGAGTGAGTGGGTGAGTGAGTGAGTGAGTGAATGAGTGAGTGGGTGAGTGAGTGAGTGAGTGGGTGAGTGAGTGAGTGAGTGAGTGAGTGAGTGAGTGAGTGGGTGGGTGGGTGGGTGGGTGGGTGAGTGAGTGAGTGAGTGAGTGAGTGAGTGTGTGAGTGAGTGAGTGAGTGAGTGAGTGAGTGAGTGAGTGAGAAGACAATGAATGACGTACCTGTATTCGAAGCTGGATGAAGACGAGATGGGGCACTGGGTGATCATGGGGACGCCGTCATGATGCGGAGAGCCCTTCTGGAAGACTCCGTGGAAGTGGATGGCGGTGCTCTCAGACCCCTCCATTCTATTGTCGACGTTCACAACGACCGTGTCGTGTTGGCAGACCTGTGAAAGTGAGGTCGATAACGTTTTGATAAGAAGCTCAGTGTGAGTGAGTTGGGTTTAACGCCGATTTTAACAGTATTACAGTTATATCGCGGCGTGTCAGCCCGAAGTGATGAAGGTCTATGACGTTTACCACGTCGGTGAAACCCACGAGCACGGGTATGGTGCTGACAAACCTAGAAACATAATCTGGGCGAACCCACAATCATAGGTTTCTTGCGCGCCCAAGGGACGCAACTCTGCACAGCGAATCGCGGCGCCTTAGACGACTCGGCCACCCGTGCCCCCTTGATAAAAAAGACTTTAAGACATGTGAAAAGGGTGAATATTGAATTGTGTCAACACATTTGCAAACGTCAACTTTTTTAACACATCTAACCAAAAACGACAAATAAACTTTGGAATAGATTACATTCGTTGGATCAATTGGTACCCAAGGCACAGCTTGCAACATCTGTTAGACATGCGGCCCTCGAAACACAGTTGACAGCGTTCTTAACCCAATGCTACTTGACACTATTCTCAACCACACAGGCAGTGTCCTCAAGCCTCTTAACAGCGTTCGCAACCTCCTGACAGTGTCTCAAACGTCACTGACAGTCCCCCCTTGGTTATTACCCCTGCAGACGATTTTCTCGCCCATTGAAGCTATCTGAAACCCTCTTAAATGCTTTATAACCCCACTGGTATTATCGAAGTCTACAAACACGACTTCAGAGCCTGGCGGCACATCATGGCTACCCTGGGAGTACAGTTTTAAAATACCTTAATGTGTCTCTCTCCACCGTTGGTTTTTTGGTTTGGTGTTTAACGCCGCACTCGGCAATATTCCAGCTACATGACGGCGGTCTGTAAATAATCGAGTCTGGACCAGACAATCCAGGGATTGATATCATGAGCATCGATCCACGCAATTGGGATCAATGACATGCTTTAACCAAGTCCACGAGCCCGAAAACCCAATCCCGTTAGTCGTCTCTTACGACAAGCACAGTCGCCTTTTACGACAAGCATGGGTTTCTGAAGACCTATTCTACCCCGGATCTTCACGGGTCATATCTCTTACGTACATGCAGAGCCGGGCCGGGCAGCATTCTGTTGACGGTGATAATCGGTCTCCGGACGCCGTCAGCAGCGACACAGTGGGGTCTGTAGCAGTCGGTGATGTTGGAAGGGCAGGCGAAGCAGGCCTTGCTCAAGACGATGTAGTACTCCAGGGTGAACGTGTACTCACACGTCATGGGGGATCCGCCATCAACACACTCACGCATACAGGGGTGGGTCTCGTACGCTTTGAACAAAAATGAGTTATTGAAATAATATAGGTAATTTCCTTTGGTTGGAATTGGAAGTACTAGACCACCAAACCGCACAACTGGAACGACATTACGACGTAGCGATAAGCACACACGCAAGCACGCACGCACACACACACACACACACACACACACACACACACACACACACACACACACACACACTATCTACAGTAAACTACGGTTATAACGAAGACGCTTATAACGAACTGACGGATATAACGAACTTACTTTTTTGGTCCCGACTATTTGCTGTTGTTATGCTGTATATATGCTAATAACGAACTTCGGTTATAACGAACTAAAATTAGTAGTCCACTTGAATTCGTTATAACCGTACTTTACTGTATCTCTCCTTACAGTATAAAGGTTATATTACGTAAAGCAGGGATCACCATATCAGACGAGCCTAGGTTTTGTGTACTCGGACAGTCTGTTGCCATGGTAATTGGGTGAACGAATACTGCACAACGCCGCAATCCGCGCTATGGCAGCGGCCATTCCCCGAGGCAAGGGAGTTAACTGGCTGTTTTCGCTGGACTTTTATCACCAGTTACCTCCCTTGCCTCGGGAAGATTCAAAGCGGCCAACAATGTCCCTTACGCCAGACAGTTCGATGCTTGTGACCTCTTCCCAGCTGCATTCCCCACGCGCACCAGGCCGTAGACACAGCCCTCGTCGTTATCAAAGCCACCGCTACTCTCTGCCTGCTCCCTTTTGTCACCTGACATAATACACCGACCCCTCCGCTTCATCTGACGCGTTCCCGTGACTACCCATCCAAGTCAATATTCTGCTGGGGATGTATCATTTGTTACAGAGGTCACTGTGTCACGACACGCATGTTTTAACCTGAAGAGTTAGTGTGTCTGCAATCAGGTATGTTTTAGTTACGATCTGAGGCTAAAAACAGAACTTTCTCACACAGCCTGGCCCTCTCCCCCATCCCATGTATTCCCCTCATCTCGTACGTGTGCCGAAACGGCAGAGTCGACCTTTGAGATGTCAGTCAAGATGTACTCGGTTATACCAAGTTGCCTGGTATGGTGAAAGATATCCAACAGCAAATTTTTGCTGTAAAATTAGGAACATTTCCATGTAAACAAATGGTGAATTTAAGAAAAAAAGCACCACTTTGAAACTCTACATCCTCATGAATGACGATACCGATAGGCTGTAAAAGCTAAAATACAAGCAGACTTTTTCTCACTGATGGGGTGAGCGAAATCCTTTCTGATGGCTGATGGATTATTTGGCCAAACACGTCTTAGAGTGTCTCACTGAACAACGCGTACATTAACTTCCCTTGTTGGAAGACGGCAGTAACAAACAGACGTGACAGTCTCAAAGTGTTTACATGTGACGTCGTTACGCCGTACGTTGACAACGTGACGTCACTGCCCGATTATGGCCTATATAAATGCTACATTATTTCCTCAATTTCCGTCCTGGCGGCAGCGACATTCCAACTTGATAGTCTCAGATTTACCACATTACAAGCGTTTATAAACATTACAATACCTGCCTTTGAAAAACACATTCACGACCTTGAATGTAACAAGTACTGGCATGTGTAGGCCAGGCCACATACACCACGCGTATAGACAGTGTGTCAGGCCATGGTACGCGGGGAGATGGTCAGTGTTTATAGGGCTGGCTGTGGGGGTAACAGACTTGACATCTGTCCCCCGCGTTCACTGCCATGTGTCGCCTGTGTGGTGAACGCGTTGTCTCCGGGTGAGACCGGGTCCCCAGAGGCGACTTGAAGTGGATCGGGTGGTTACGCTGGGTGACTTGGAAGCGTGTCATTGTACCCCGACGGGATCGTGTTTGATAATAATAATCACTGGATCGTGTGGCCTGGACTCGAATAATACATGCCGTAGGTAAATGACTCATATGTCGCTAGAATATTGCTGAGTGCGATGTGTCACACAATACCCAGACGCGCAAACGCACACGCACACGCATACGCACGTAGACGCACACTCACCAAAATAGAACCTCGTACAAAGATAAAGTACTGGTAGTATGTGATCTCGTACAAAGATTAATTACTGGTAGTATGTGATCTAGTACAAAGATAAAGTACTGGTGGAATGTGATCTAGTACAAAGATTAAGTACTGGTGGAATGTGATCTAGTACAAAGATTAAGTACTGGTGGTATGTGATCTCGTACAAAGATTAAGTACTGGTAGTTTGTGATCTCTTACAAAGATAAAGTACTGACGGTATGTGATCTCTTACAAAGATAAAGTACTGGTAGTATGCGATCTCGTACAAAGATAAAGTACCGGTAGTATGTGATCTCGTACAAAGATAAAGTACTGGTAGTATGCGATCTCGTACAACGATAAAGTACTGGTGGTATGCGATCTCGTACAACAATAAAGTACTGGTGGTATGTGATCTCGTACAACGATAAAGTACTGGTGGAATGCGACCTCGTACAACGATAAAGTACTGGTGGAATGTGACCTCGTACAACGATAAAGTGCTGGTGGTATGTGATCTCGTACAACGATAAAGTACTGGTGGAATGCGACCTCGTACAACAATAAAGTACTGGTGGAATGTGATCTCGTACAACAATAAAGTACTGGTGGAATGTGATCTCGTACAACGATAAAGTACTGGTGGAATGCGACCTCGTACAACAATAAAGTACTGGTGGAATGTGATCTCGTACAACAATAAAGTACTGGTGGAATGTGACCTCGTACAACAATAAAGTACTGGTGGAATGTGATCTCGTACAACAATAAAGTACTGGTGGAATGTGACCTCGTACAAAGATGAAGTACTGGTAGTATGTGATCTCGTACAAAGATAAAGTACTGGTGGTATGTGATCTCGTACAAAGATGAAGTACTTGTGGTATGTGATCTAGTACAAAGATAAAGTACTGGTAGTATGTGATCTCGTACAAAGATAAAGTACTTGTAGTATGCGATCTCATACAAAGATAAAGTAATGGTAGTATGCGATCTCATACAAAGATAAAGTCATGGTAGTATGCGATCTCGTACAAAGATAAAGTACTGGTAGTATGTGATCTCGTACAAAGATAAAGTACTGGTAGTATGTGACCTCATACAAAGATGAAGTACTGGTGGTATGTGATATCGTACAAAGATAAAGTACTTGTGGTATGTGATCTAGTACAAAGATAAAGTACTGGTAGTATGTGATCTCGTACAAAGATAAAGTACTTGTAGTATGCGATCTCATACAAAGATAAAGTAATGGTAGTATGCGATCTCATACAAAGATAAAGTAATGGCAGTATGCGATCTCGTACACAGATAAAGTACTGGTAGTATGTGATCTCATACAAAGACAAAGTACTGGTAGTATGTGATCTCGTACAAAGATAAAGTACTGGTGGTATGTGATCTCGTACAAAGATAAAGTGCTGGTAGTATGTGATCTCGTACAAAAATAAAGTACTGGTGGAATGTGATCTCGTACAAAGATAAAGTACTGGTAGTATGTGACCTCGTACAAAGATGAAGTACTGACGGTATGTGATCTAGTACAAAGATAAAGTACTGGTGGAATGTGATCTCGTACACAGATAAAGTACTGGTAGTATGCGATCTCGTACAAAGATAAAGTACTGACGGTATGTGATCTCGTACAAAGATGAAGTACTGGTAGTATTTGATCTCGTACAAAGATGAAGTACTGACGGTATGTGATCTAGTACAAAGATAAAGTACTGACGGTATGTGATCTCATACAAAGATAAAGTACTGGTAGTATGTGATCTCGTACAAAGATAAAGTACAGGACGTATGTGATCTCGTACAACGATAAAGTACTGATGGTATGCGATCTCGTACAAAGATAAAGTACTGGTAGTATGCGATCTCGTACAAAGATAAAGTACTGGTGGTATGCGATCTCGTACAACGATAAAGTACTGATGGTATGTGATCTCCTACAACGATAAAGTACTGGTAGTATGCGATCTCGTACAACGATAAAGTACTGGATGTATGTGATCTCGTACAACGATAAAATACTGGATGTATATGACCTCAGGAAAGTGATGTCGTACAAAGATGCATCCCTACAGTGCCACTAGTGATGCGGGTCAGACAGCTACTTACTGGGCAGCTCCTGTTGTCCCAAGACTACGGTGGCCACAGCGAGGAGAAGATGCAGGGTCGACGCCATGATGCAGGGAGGGAGGTAGCAGAGTGATAGTAGCCGGATACCGGGGTCCCTTTATACCCGCCTCGTCCCACGTGGAGCGTGTCAGGTCTGTAAATAACCTGCCGATATGTCGTACTTACCAGGGACGTTATGTCATGTCTACGTACACAGGCCTTGTCATGCGTGACGTTACAGATAAAAAACATGTTGCTCATTGTTACACCAGTACCTAGAACGGTTTGGACATTTCTTGGTACTGACACAAGATAGTGTATGCTTTGGGAATTGGTACAGACTTATTCTGAGTGAGTGAGTGAGTGAGTGAGCGAGGGGGCGGGCTTGCGGGTGGGTGGGTGAGTGAAGGAGTTGGTGGGTGGATGGGAGGGTGGATGGGAGGGTGGATGGGAGGGTGAGTGAGTGAGTGAGTGAATGAGTGAGTGAGTGCGCACAAGACTTGGTTGGGGGGACAAGCCTTGTTGCACTTTATATTGTCCTTAAAAGCTTCTCTTTCTAGACAAAACATATCCCAGCGATACACAATACGGCTTCAGATGGGTTCATAGTTGTAATGTGACCAGGCGACTACATTTCACCGACATTCCACACGCTACAGAGCTCAATGTAGCGTACGTCATCCCGACCTGTCCAGGGTGGTTGGTCACAACTGGGCGGTGTGGGGTGGTGTGGGGTGGGGTGAAGTGCGTAATAGTTTGTGGTGGAGGGAAGTTTTTGGTGGTGTGGTGTGGGGTGGAGTGCGTTATAGTTTGTGGTGGAGGGAAGTGTTTGGTGGTGTGGGGTGGAGTGGGGTAGTGTGTGTAATAGTTTGTGGTTGAGGGAAGTGTTTGGCGGTGTGGGGTGGGGTGGGGTGGGGTGTGTAATAGTTTGTGGTGGAGGGAAGTGTTTGGCGGTATGGGGTGGAGTGGGGTGGAGTGTGTAATAGTTTGTGGTGGAGGGAAGTGTTTGGTGGTGTGGGGTGGAGTGGGGTAGTGTGTGATAGTTTGTGGTGGAGGGAAGTGTTTGTTGGTGTGGTGTGGAGTGGGGTGGAGTGTGTAATAGTTTGTGGTGGAGGGAAGTGTTTGGCGGTGTGGGGTGGAGTGGGGTGGAGTGTGTAATAGTTTGTGGTGGAGGGAAGTGTTTGGTGGTGTGGTGTGGGGTGGAGTGGGGTGGAGTGTGTAATAGTTTGTGGTGGAGGGAAGTGTTTGGTGTGAGGTGGAGTGGGGTGGTGTGGTGTGGGGTGGAGTGGAGTGGAGCGGGGTGGAGTGGGGTGTTCTGGGGTGGGGTGGGGTGGGCTCGGTTTGTGATGAGGTTGCTTGTCTCTCACCCCTTCACCTATTATGGGATGGAAGCTGTGACTCTCCCCGAGTACGTGACATACTCTACGTTTAGTCGGTTACGCTCTGATTGAATCTAAAGAAGATGTACTTTCTGTTAAACTTGTCCTCCACCGTCAAGTGTCTGTGTACACCACCCGATTCTTTGCAACTCTCGAGGAGGTCATGTGTACAGAACGCAGTGACATAGCTGCAATACAGTTTAAAGCGGCGTTAAAACCAACTCACCCACTCATGTGTGTATATGTCCCACAAGTAACTGTAAAGCACAATACCAAGTGTATTCAGTCATTCATGGCGTAACATTCTTTACTAAAGCCTGATATCCATAGTACATACACGAATGTCGATGGGAAGTGACATTGTCTGATATCAATAGAACATACACGACTGTCGATTGGTAGTGACATTGTCTGGGGTCATGCCATGAGAGTCAGATCCTCGTCGTGATATTAACGTAATATTGCCAAAAGTGGCGAAAAACCCCTCCCTCAAATCCTAAAGTGTCCACAGTGAATACACATACAGTCACACCGTTGTGTCGAACTTTGATGTGTCGAACTTACGGTTGTCTCGAAGTTAAAGCACGGTCCCTGTGTATTCCTTCTTTAATTATTTTCCGTTGTGTCGAACCTCGGTTAACTCGAATTTACTTAGGTCCCTTCAACTTCGACACAAGGGTGTTTGTCTATATCATTTCAATTATTTTAAGCACGTCATAATAGGATAAAGAAATTGGTAAACTCGTGTGTATTCCCAGTATATGATATTTAAGACCCGAAAACACACTCGGCTATTAATCTGTTTTAGCCGGATATGGAAATCAGTCACTTGAACCAGCGTCCCCCTGGCATTCCAGGCACTGCCGCGCATGTCCCGGTGATGTCGTCAGAAAAGCGTGGTAATGGAAACATGAAGTTAAATATATCTTGAACCACAGCCCAGACCGGGAAGCTGTGTCGCGAACCCCCCGAAAACCTCCCCCGTCTTGTTGGACCCAGGAAGAGGATACAACGTGTGTTCCACAGAACGTCCTTGAACTCTTTCAGAAGAGGGTTAACTTGCACGTGTGACCTTCATGAGGTCACGATTGCCCCACTGTGGGTTCAAGGTCATATTACCTCTTTTTGTAGACCTTTATCCACGGAGATTTATGCATACACAAGTCTTAAGGGAACTGAAAGAGTTTAGGAGATCATACGGGCATTTATCGCTGGGTTTTGTTGTCCCTGTATGCTATCTTAAACAGACATTCCAGTCATACGCTATGCATACACCGAATAGTGAGTGAGTGAGTGAGTTGGGTTTAACGCCGCTTTTAACAGTATTCCAGTTATATCAGGGCGTGTCAGCTTAATGTGGGAGAAAAGCCCGAAATGATGCAGGTCTAAGACGTTTACCTCTTCGGTGAAACCCACGAGCACATAATCGGAGCGAACCGGGATTCGAACCCACAATCATAGGTTGTTGCCGTGCCCAAGTGACGCAACTCTGCATGTCTGAATAACTTGACACATAAAATGTTTCTATATTTTAAGCTCAATAAGATACATTTGTGAAGAAATCTACATGGGAATAAGGCAGTTCTTTTTCCCCATTTAGTAAACAACTAGTCAAAAAGATAACGTCTGAAATTTAATAAAACAAAAACAAAACAGATACACAAACCCTTCTTTACACCAATAAAAACATCCCCCAAACTAGACTTTTTCTACATATTTACCGAAAGTGTCAACATTAACCAATTTCTATCATAAAATTCATAAGTTCTTTACGATAATAAAAAGTAACGATAATAAATAAACTCATGATGTTAAGCTGTTCAACGTAGTCTGCCATGTACAAAGCACGAAAAGCACGAGCTTTACACAAACATGCGCAAGCTGGGAGAGGTGTCCCTAAACAAACCACGAACAACTGTTTCCGTCTCTTCACTACGTCTATACAGTTATGAGACACGCTTCGCCTTACTTAGGAATTACGTCTTCCGTGGCAGCTAAACCGTCGTCAGCAGAATGCGGAGATTGTTTCTCCTGTGTATTACAACATACAATCTGTACGGTGTTCAAATATTAACCGGTATACGTCATTATATCGTTGCACGACGCTTTCCCGACACGTGCAAAGGTCAGTCACCTGATGCACGTGCATTGGAGAAAGTGTATGTGTCCGTCATCGACAGGTGAGTTGAGGTGAGGCAAGGTGAGGTTTAACGCCGCGGCCAAGATATTTGCACTTATATAGTGACGTGCATGCATGTTTTTGTGTGATGCTGCTTGATTTATAGTGCTAGCTCACTGAGATACCATGGCGCAGTTTAACATGAATACCCAACTCAGACACAGTATACTGACTCTAAACCGACCGGTCATTGTTTTAGTCCTTAAATGCCGAGCGCCAAACAGGTACCATTTATGACGTATTTTGGTATGACGTGACCGGGGATTGTTCCCCGAACGCTCTCCGGGCGGGCGGACGCTCTTCCACTAGACCACGGAGACGGTCTCATCACAACCTGACCACACGGTTGCATTGTTTCTGATGACAACCATGATCTATTTAAAACTGTATATAATGGTCGCAATGACCATGCATTTATGAACTGTCACCCTTCAATGAAAGAAGAGTGAGTGAGTGAGTTTGGTTTAACGTCCCTCTGAATAGTATTTCAGTCAAGTCATGCAGTGTGAGCGTTATGTCTGGGAGGAAACTGATCTCAGACGTTTACCACTTCATTGAACCCCACGAGCACGGGTAGGGTGCTGACAAACCTAGAAACATAATCAGGGCGAACCGGGATTCGAACCCATGATCATAATACTCTGGCAACTAAGGGACGCAACTCTGCACAGTGAACGCCAGCTGGGTCCCCTCAAGGAATACGGCTGTCGGAATATCATGTTGGTTTCCAGTGATCGATAAAGTTAAGAATACCCTCTTACAACATGGAATGGAACGTTCAGTGATGCCTCCATGCTATTGTGTCTGGTGTTGCTCCACAGTCGTCGTAACAGGACATAGCATAAAGGAAGTCGGATCACTTTACACACACCACAGAACTTCTATGTAAGTGACGTCACATGCTGACTCGGTGGGGAAAACCCAGCACAGCACTTCCTCATTGCCAGATATCAGATGTCTCCCAGAGCGCGATGTCTGCTTATCACATTGTAGATCTCACGTCCTCTCCGTGAAGAAATATCTTGGAACAGACGCAGCCGGACTGAAGCATCCGGGTACTGAACACGCGTGGGTCCATATTCCATTGAATCCAGTTCTCAATTATTCCTTCGTATCCAACAACAACAACAACAACAACATCAACATGTTTATCGGTACTATGGGAGGCCCCGCTAGACACTGTTGCTATTACTCGCATCTCCAAACGTACCAAGCGAGGTAAAAAGAGTTTTGAAATGCACGAGTAATTAAATACTTAGATATCCATATACGTGTTGTCTCTTTTTATTAGCTACTGTGGAAAGGAAACGCCCCAATTTGGCCACCCATGTAAGAAATTAATTATTTTCTTACGGTTTGGGTATCGCTTGATTTCACAGGATGTTGGAGATCCAAAGCTATTTCTTACCCAGTTTAAAGAAAGTGTACACGCCTCCTTAGACTCAAATGTGTTAACTTTTTATAAGACTCAGAAATCATGGTTAGATTGTAAAAAATATTTGTCTCTTCAAATGCCCTGGGAGTACAAACGTCTATTAACAAAGTATAGAATTAGCTGTAATTCTTTGGGTGTGCAGCATCTACGAAGGG